TACATCATCGGTCCAGGCTCTAGAAGCAGAGATACCTAATGCATTCGGTATTTTTATTTTTTTAATTGTTATTTTTTCAAGTCAAACTAAAAGCATGCCCCATTATTTTGTATTATTTATTTTTTAAAATATTATTAAAAATTCAATTTTTAGATAGTTGTTCCGATGCTTTAATAGTTAATTTAAGATTGTAAATTGATGGAATTTGAATAAAATTAGTAAATCTAAATCCGATTACTTATTTTACATTCAAATCTAATTCAAGATCTTATTAGATATACATTTATTAAATCATATTTAAATTTAATAAATAATACAAAATTTGATAAGAAAATCAATCTAATTTGACAAAAAATTATACGTTTTTACATTTAATTTTTCTCAACTCTATTCTATCAATTATATAAATTTCTTAATTTTCTAATTTTTTTAATCTAATATTTACAAGTTTGAATCTATTAATATTATATATAAGATTATTAATTTAATTTAAAAAATTATTAAAATTTAAATTCAAATATTTAATAGATCAAATTATTTAATTTCAAATCAAATTCATTTATTTTAAATCACAAATATTTATAATAGATTTAATATTTAAATATTTTAATTAAATTTAAATTTTAAATTCAAATCAAATTCAAATTATAATCTAATTTATTAATATCTCTGCAATTTGAACTATTGTTATTATTATGCGAGTGGTCCAATTCTACTCATTTTGCAAACTGAAGTCAAAAAATCATTTGACAAATTTACTTTTAAATTAATATTTAAAATATTTTATTTACGGGAAGTGGAGGAGTGAGATTATAAAATTAATCCTCCAATTTAAAATAAAAAATTGATATATCTATAAATTCACTCAAAATACTTTCCTTTTGACAGTAGGGCTGTAAATTTTATTCAAGGTCAAATTATATTGTGTGACAGATGATAATTTAAAAAGAAAAAAAACCTGCTGAGCCCTTGCTACCAAAACAAATATACAGTTATATTTGTGATACTGGGTATTTAAAAAATCTACATTTTTATAATTATATATAGATGTTAAAAATTTAAGAGATTATCACATTTATTTAACAATTTTTTTATTTTTTATTATAATTTTACCCATACATAAATATGTAAAGTTAAATTATTATGAAAAAATCAAATAATTTTTATATTTATAACATTGACTTATTTTTTAATTTAAAAATTATGGGCTCATTCTTATCATAAAATTATTCTTACATCCTTCTTCTTTGCATAAATAGAATTTTGGGAAAATTAATAATTGGGTCAGCTTAGTAAAATTTATTATTCAAATGGTCAATATTAAAAATAATGACCCAAAGGTTTAAAATAAAAAATTTAATTTATAAGGTAATTTAATTTCCCAAAAATACATTTTCACATTTTTTCACACCCAAATTGTAAGCATAAATTTGCATAATTATAAGTATATTTCTATAAAATTACAAGTATGAATTTGTACAATTATATATATGTATCTATAAGCTACATGTATAAGTTATAACTACTTTTTGTATAGTTATAAGTATGAATTTGTAAAATTATAAGTATATTTCTGAAAAATTATATCTATATTTTAATAATATACAAGTATATTTTTGTAAAATTATCGCAACTTAATCCCCCCTTAAACTATAAAATTATCCAAATTATAGTAACATGCTTGTAATTTTATAAAAACATACTTCTAATTTTACAAATAGACATAAATTATAGATACAATTTTACAGTAACATATTTGTAATTTTACAAATTTATATTAGTAATTTAAATGTGAAAAAGTGTGTAATTGTATTTTAAGAAATTAAATTACTTTTAGGTCAATATTTTTGCTTGAAACCTTTGGCGTCCACTTGTTAATTTTCCGTAGAATTTTTTTCACTTGTTTCTATCTCAAACCATTTCACTCAGAATTGTGAGGCAATAGTATATTTGTCTAATATAACAAAAGGCAAAGGCTAAGAGCTAGGGAAGTCAGCTTATTGGGTGGAAAAAGTAAACAGGTTGGTTAAGCAAGGGGAAGGAGTTGACTTTTGTGAAAAGCTAAAAGTCTACAAGTGAGGTTGGCAGCTGCGTCTGTTTGCAGCGTCTGTCGGGTGTTTTGCAAAAAGCGCATGTGAGAAAACAACATCTCCATTAATTATTTATTTCAATGGAAACAGAAGTCATCTGTTTCATACGACTATTTTCGTCTTTCTCAAGCAAACTTACAACTTGGTTTTTCTTTTTCTTTTTAAATAGAATATAAACAAAACCTTTTCATGCGAATGCAATAGGTGTTTAGTTTGCCCAGAAAATGTTTTATTTTCTTATGCAAGAAAAGAACGCACATCTTTTCTCTTGTTTTAAAACAAATTGTTTCGTTATTCCAAAAATATTCTTTATAAATAAAAAATAAAAATTATTTTTATCATTTCTCCCTTCTTCTATTGTGTCATTCCATTTGAATATTAAAAACACATAAAAATGAAACATTGAAGAAAATAAAAATAATAAAAAAAAAAGCCCAGCCCAAAAAACTAATAAAATAAGATTCTAAAAAAAAATTAAATAGTTTCTTGTTGGATCCTAAAAATCCAAAAGAACCCAGTGTTTGAGTGTAGCCAAACATCACATATTAAATAGTTTATTGTTATTTTTGCAATATTACTTGGGCGGATGAGAGAGAAAGGAGGGATTAATTTAGATTACTCTACATTGAAATCACTTAAAGTTACCACCAATTATTCTACATGACTTCTGTACTTTAGTTAAACCTAATCCTAATCCATGCTTATCTTCTGGTATGGAAAATCTTCACCAGCTCAACATTTGAAATAATGTAAGTTGTAATTAGAATGGTCTTGTCGATGACGCATGGATTCAAATGTTAATCGAGAGAGAAGGGATTCCAGTGAGCAGACACAGACAAACACAAGCATGCTTGTTTCTTCCTTCTCAAGATCCGAGTCCACTTACTTTAATTTATAATTATAACAATGTGTTCACGGTCAGTGCCTGTTGAATATTAATGATTTATTATTTATTATAATTGTTGGTGTTGGTAAGGAGGAGCTGGCGATCTGTTTATGGTCCTTGCTTCAACTGCTGAATCAAAACTTCACAATTATGTCAGTGTAAGGATTTTATGCATGTAACTCTATAAATCGGCCTTGAATCTCTTTTCCATTCCCTTTCCTCACTCTAAAGTTAAACAAAATCTATGGAGTTCAACCCAGTTTGGGAACTCTTCCTTCTTTCTTCCTCTTACACAAGAGTAAAAATCATAGACAGCAAGTTTGTTTTTGGGAAAAAAACACTTCCAGTTCGGATGGGAGAGCTCAAAGGAGGGTTAATTTAAACTCCTTGACTATTTTTTAGTGATGGTTCGAGGATTTTAGTTATATTCTCTTTTGTAGGAACTGCTTTCTTCCCCTTTAAAAAAAGAAAAAATTAAAATTAATTTTGATGTATTATATTTTTTAAAAATAAATTGACATTTATTGTTTGTAATCCATTTTTCCTTATCATAAAAATAATAAAATTTATGTATCCAAATTTTTTTTTAAAATATATTATCAGACAAGATCATAATATTTCTTTCTAAAAGTCTTGAATTTGCAGCATTCACCCATTTGTGTTTTCCTACAACACAATTATTTTTACTTAACCATTTCCTCTCTTCTAATGTGAAGTACAAAAGTTGTAGCTTGCATGCAGACATTTACTTACTTTTATTTTTCTTATTTTTTAGTTTTTTGTTAATTTTTCATCTTTATTCTTTAAATATCAGATGATAAAATACATTCTGAAACCAAAATCTTGTAACTTTAACTTTTCTCCTGCCATAAGCTTGAAACCTACAAAAATCAATTTAAATTAGCCATTTCGAACTTGAAAAATCGACACAGAAACTCAGTAAGAACCAAACAGGGCCAAATATTACAGCATCACATGCCAAATGGGCAATCTGACGACCAGGATTTCAAAGAAATTTATTTCTCCCAAGTTGCGTATGCCGTGGGTTGAAGTCATACAACGTGGGGAAGGTGCAAAGTAATAGCATTATATTTTCACCGATCCTATTTTTTATTTTTTTCTTTATTTTTTATAGTGGGAAATTTCTTGATGAGTTCCCCCAAATGTAATATTATTTTTTATTATTGAAAGACCTAAAATGTGTAGATCAATAATAGAAGATTTCAAGGAAGATTGGTGGATAATAAGAGGATAGAACCATAGGGTTAATCTCTTACTAAATAATGAGTTAATGGATGAGGCAACTCGGATTTTAATATTGCAGGAATAATAACATCAGGTACGTTCAAATTTGTCAACTGTCATGTTGTACCTTGTGTGTACACAGCAAAAGAATATGGGTTAAATTAGATACCTCACAAATCTAATATTCTTTCTAGCTTTTAGAATAAAGTTTATTGATAGTCTTTTTTTATTTATTTGAAACTTTTCTTGTTTTAAAGTCCGAAAATTAGAAGGGATAAAAGGGAAATCTTGATTTAAAAAAAATTATTTATATCTTGTCCCTAATTCCTCAATTTATTAAAATTTTAGAGATATTTTATTTTTTATAACATATCAAAATTTATTTTTTATAACAATTGGTTCTGTGTAAATAATATTAACATTTTACAAATGAAATTATAGTGAGACTGACTTTTTTTAAAAAAATTTTAAAATTTTTTCTGTCCTCTGCCGAACACCGCTTCACCTGTATTAGTTTTTATTGGGAAAGCAATCGATGAATGAACTAATCCAAATGAGAGGCAGAGAGAGACTAGAAGAGAAATGAGGCGGGGGAGAGAAATTAATTAAGGAGAAGGTGAGGAGGTGTAGGACTTTCTGGGTCCTCGTAAGCATCAACATTACCCACGTTTCCTGCCTATAAAGCTGGCTTTTTTCTTCGACATTTTCCACATCAATCACAGATTTAGATATATTATATCTAGAGAGAGAGAGAGAGAGAGGGAGAGAGAGAGAGAGAGATGGGTAGAGCTCCTTGCTGTGACAAGGCAAACGTGAAGAAGGGTCCGTGGTCTCCTGAAGAAGACGCAAAGCTCAAGTCTTACATTGAAAAGTATGGCACTGGGGGTAACTGGATTGCTCTTCCTCAGAAGATTGGTATGAATGGACTATTATCTCTCCTTCCTCCCACGGTGTCGTGTGATTGTGTCTACATTTATGTTTGGAAAACTCCTATATCCCCGATCCGTTGGTTTAACCTCACAAGTTATTTGGTCCAAAATTAACACTAAAACTAAAACTGAAACTAAACAGGGCTGAAGAGATGTGGGAAGAGTTGCAGACTGAGATGGCTGAATTATTTGAGACCAGACATCAAGCATGGTGGTTTCACTGAAGAAGAAGACTACATCATTTCTTCCCTCTATATCAGTATTGGAAGCAGGTACTCATCTCTTCTTTTTGACCTTGTACAATCTGTACAAGCTACTCGCTCATTAGCATGTTGACATAAAATCAAATTACCCGTAACAGAAGAAAATCAATTGCCATGTAAAGTCAACTTTTTTATTAATTTGTTATAATTGTTCTACCAATTATTATATCCAGGAGGAAGAAGGGGTGTTTTGGTAATTCAATCGAGTGCAATATTTTATATTTAATTTTGGTTTTTAAATATTTTTTAATATGGATATGGAATCTCACTAGCTATTTTAATCTTTCTTTCATTTTTCTTTTTTGGCCAAATTAGGCAGTTCAATTTTTTTTTTTAACAAAACTATAACTTTTTTTTTCTACCATTTCAGAAAAGAACTCAAAAATTTTTAGATATTTTAACCATGATTTTTAACCTTTTTTTACGTACAAAATTTTTTATAGAAGTATAGATTTCCAAACTGAAAAATTTTAATCGAAGTTCTCTGTCATTTGCCTTTGGCTATGAGGTTACATATGTCCTAATTGTTCTTCCGATTCTTGGTAAAGTCCTACCCTTACAAATTTCTTGGAATGCTAGGTGGTCCATAATTGCGGCTCAATTGCCCGGAAGAACAGACAACGACATCAAGAACTACTGGAACACCAAGCTCAAGAAAAAATTGCTTGGCCGACGCCGGCACTCCACTGCCCTCAACCCCCTATCAAAATTAAACGGGCCGGAAGTAGAACACAACTCAGCCGCACAAGTCTTGACCAACTCAGCGCTAGAAAGGTTTCACCTCCACATTCTTCTCCAAAATCCTAAAACCCCGCTCTCCTTCTACCCCAACCCTTCGCTCCAATGCCCCGATCAAAGCACCAACCATTTCATAAATAGTATTGTCTCCCCCAGTCCAACAGAAATGGACAAATATCAGAATCATCTATGGGGTTCAGGTGGAGCAACTGCAGAAATAACCAGTAATATTGATACACCTCAGCAGGACGCAAATTTGATGGCTGGATTTGATTGGTTGTTTAATGATCAGTTGGAATCAAAATCACCCAGCTGGGATTATGATTCTGCCTTTCAGTCTGAGGGGATGTATGGGCAAGATTGTAATTATGGGTTAGGCTACAATAATCTGTAATTAGGGTGCGGGCTATGGAGTAGTTTAGTTAGCTAGCTAGGATCTCAATCTTATAAGAAGGTAAGGAACAAGAAGGAAGGACTAATTAATGGTTTAGTAATTTGTAAAAAAAGCATGTCCATTGTGAAAAGTCTTATCTAGAAATGCTGAGTCCCAATAAATTTTATAAAATTATAGTGTCCATATTATACTAAATAACTCATAAGCCAAGGAACTTTTATGTCTTGAATGGATAGAGGACAACACTTCATATAACACAACAGAGATGATATCTACTTAAATTACAAGCATAAGGTATGAGAAACTTGAGGGCCATGTTAGAAAGGTAAAAAGCTACGAACCAACTCTTTTTCAGTAATTTGAGTGAGTAAAAACTCAGTCTCCTCTTACCAGATAAAGTAGCCATTCACTCCTAAAACTATATAATTGTGAGAGGTTTTCATTGTTATTCCCAAAAAACTTTAGTCTTTGTCGTCATCACTATCATCTTTTTAGTCATCATAGTAATCAAAATAGTTTTCATGTGCTTACTCCAAGACATAATAATCATTATTAAAGTTTAAATCTTAAAAACAATTAGAATTTGAGGAGTTATCATCGTCATCACCATATCATTATAACTATTTTTGTTACTATAATTGTAATCCGAGTCAAAACTATCACCATATTATTAATATACCTTGAATCAGAGTAGTCATGATCATCAATCTCTTCAATATATCCTTGCTGTATTCCTCGAAAATTATACTATCAACCTCCAAAGTAATATTCTTATCATATCTTGGACTTTTGATTGGACCAAAGTTGAATTCTTGAAACCTCACCTCAATACGGTACTCACTGTAGCCATTTCTATTACCAATCTTGACGGTTGAATGCTTTGTGAGCCCGTCCTTGACTCCAATTCCTCTACTTCTTTTCTCCCCACTCAGTCCTCCTTGGTGTGACGTCGTTCGTTGCTTCTGATTTGCTTGCCCTCCGGCCGAAAAGAAGCTGTCCGCTCATAGACAAGTGAATGCTCCTTTGCCCTTCTCATCCTTGAGCCGCTTCTGTAACTAGTCCATCGGCATGATTTATTGTACATTAGAACTGTAAAATACGCACAGCATGGGAGTATGTCAACGCTCAATGACGAGACACAAATCACAGTGAGTTCATTTGCAAGAACCAGGATGTATATACTCTCTAATTTTGTCATAATCGGGAGAGAAAATGAAAAATTCTAGACACTCGATTTCCACCATTCTGGGTAAAGGATTGGCTATGTGAATCCTTCAACGTCTGATAATTTCGGTAACCCTAAAACCAAGATTATTGAGCTGCATATATATGCAAATATGACTATATTTATATGCTATTGTTATTATTTTTTTTTTAATTAAAAATATTTTAAAATTAAATAGTTGATAAATATACGAATTTATTTTGATATTCCCATAGATTACCTAGTATATAGGAAGATAAAATTAATTAAAACCATAAACTATAATGTGATGTTACAAATATTTTACGCGCGGAACGAGACTTACAGAGAGAGAGGCATTACTAGTGGACAGGGAATGGCTTAGGCTTGTGGAAGAATGATGTACGGTTATTTTACAAGAGTAGGGCAAAGTAATCGGCCCTTTCATATCGTGCTCTGGCCCATCGTGCTCCGTGTGCAGAATTTTGAACCTCTCCTTTTAATATGGGAAAATTACATGTTAGCCCTTTTCAATTATTGGATTAGATCACTTTAACCTTTTAACTTTTCGAAATTCAATTAATATATCCTCCTATTAAATTTTATGACTGTCTTGGTACTAAAAACTTTTTTTTTAATCTTTATAAGTATAGTTATTTGTTTTACGTTTGAGATTAATTTTATTTATAGTGCATTGTTATTCTCTTCAAAAATACATTTTAATAAAATTGAACTTAATCCACTTTTGTGAATAAATTTTATCATACTTATGCACTCATTAAGTAAATTTTGTTTGAAAATAAACATCTCTCATATTGATATTTATTATAGAATGTTAAAAGAAGGGTAAATTTGACTAAATCCCCCTCAACTTTTAGTTTTTCATAAATAACCTCATCAATTATGAAAATATCACAAACCTCCTTAGATTTAACGTTCATTAGTAAGTTGCCCGATCCTTGCACTTGAACGTGGGGGTTAATTGTCTAATCCACAAGGAAAACTAAAACTAGAATCCACCATAATTAAGGGAGTAATATATATTTACCCTTGAATATTATTGTTTATTCTTTTAAATACAGTTGTATATCACACTAGATATGTCACAACCCCAACTTAGGGCTAGGGATGTAAATGGATCGGGTTGGGTGAGATATTAAAATATCCATATCCATATCCGAATAAAAATTTAATATCCATATCCATATCTATATCCAAATGGGTAAGAGTTATTTACCCATATCTATATCTATTTAAATATTATTTACCCATATCCACATCTATATCCATTTAAATACCATTTACCCATACCTAAATCTATATCCATTTTAATACCAAATATCCATATCTATGTCCATTTAATAAATAATTTGGTATACAACATAATCATAGAAATTAAAGAGATTTTCAAAAGAATTGCAATTTTTTTAAATTTTAAAAGTTAGAAAAGATTTTTTTTTTAAAGGTTAATGTTATTTAGGGAAAAAAAACTTTTAAAAATACATTTAAAAATTAAAAGTTATCAAATATTTAATTTTAAAGTGTTAAGAAGTACTGTTAAAAATATTATCTATTTTATTAGATATAAAACTATAATCCCTATCACACATATATTAAAATGTTAAGAAGTACTGTTAAAACATTTTAGATGTCAAAATAATTTGATCATTATACTGTTAGTGTGGTAAACATATATAAGTTATGTTTTGTACTAGTTCAAAACCATTTTTTTTGTTTGTCAAGTATTTAATAGAATAATTATTAAATTTGAATTTGTATATTTATTAAAGTTTAGTTTCACAATTGTAATTTAATTTTATTACATGTTATTTTTCAATTTAATTATTACATTATTCTTATATAAATAATTAAATTCTTTCTTTTTTGTAAAATATGTTTTTATAATCTTTCAAAAATATTTGAATTTCCAACATTATATATCTTATGAATTATGATGTTCATATAAGAAAAATATCTTAGGATATTATACATAAATATGTGTACATATATTTATATATACATGTTATATATAAGTATATATGTATATATGTATAAAATTCGGGTATATAATACGGGTAATTAGATATAAATATACGGGTATATAAATACGGATATATGGGTATGGATATTCGGGTATTTAGGTATTATTACATAAAAAACCATATCCGAACCCGAACCCAAAAAAATATAATAACTTACAATCGAACCCGACCCAGAAATCGAATTGTAATGGCCGAATCCGAATCCGAGTCGGGTAAATGGTTCGGGTACCCGCAAAACCTGAATCCATTTACATCCCTACTTAGGGCTACGACGGTGCCAAAGATGGGCAACCCATTCTAGGCAAGCCTCTGAACCCAAACAGAAATTTAGCAAAGTACAAGAAATTTTACCAAAATTTCGGAAGAACCTCTCCTAAAAATCAGACATTTGTCAAAATTTTAACCTATTTTAAAGTTCCCTGTTTCCATCAGAAATCACCAAGCAGTTCATATAACATGTATCACTATCATTAAAAGTGTAAAAACTCTCATATTGCCAATACAAGTTATCGAGCAACCACCAAATTATTGTACGACAAAAATCAACTTGCATTCAATTTTTACAAAATAGAATGAGAATACATAACTTCAAAAGATAAGATTCCTATCTGTGGCAATGGAGTATTCTAACACCAAAAGGTTCACAGTGCACAAGCATACAAATATTCACTAGCAGCACTAGCACAAATATAATAAGTCAAGGCCACGCAAGGCATAAAGATGCATGGGGCACTCACTTAGAGAATTAGCAAATGCCTCAAGGTGGAGAGATGGTAGCTGGATCGATGCTGTAATCTAAAGGGGGAAAAATAAAAGGTTGAGACTTTATCTTAGTGAGTAATAGTATGTATATCCAAGTTTTAGAAAAATAAAAAATATTAGCTAGTTCACCTTGTCAATGATATCATTCTACATGTTAGAAGTACCAACACACTAGCATAAGCAGCATACAAACGATATGCAAATCACAAAAAAATATTTTATCCTAAAGTTACAAAACACCGCATAATCATATATGTGTCATCAAGATATTGTGCGACATACAAGAAAACATACCTAGGCACCGTAGGTGAAAATCACAAGCGAGAATTGCAAGCGGGAATCACGAGCACCCACCATCCCTATTTACCACTATTCCTGCTTACCACCACCTCTACAATACCTTGAGTTAACAAATGATCTTAATCTCATAACTTATCATATCTTACCATCCTAATCATCTCATTCAGTGCATATTTCATTTTCCCATCATGGATACACACACACACACACACACATATATATATGTATATTTATCATCCTGCCAGACACTAAGATGGATAAAAAAATAATAAAAAACTAAAAAAACTCGTAATTATCACAAAATATATGAAAACACGTATTATTACTTACAATAAAAATAAGACAATTAGTTATTTTCGGCCATCTATCCGACTGTGAACAACGGAGCAGGGTATAACTATCTAAGGCACGGAACACTTCTATACTCTCTTAGAGCAAAAGAAACTCTCGAGGAACACCTACGGCCTGCAGTTCCCTTAAACCCAAAATCAGCCCCCATTCACAAATCTACTAGAACACAATGAAAGAAAAGGAAATATACCCCCAGGAAGATTCCTACTTGGAATCGTCACCCTTGCACAGATTGGACCAGACAGAACTTTACCCACTGGTTCGGCATAGACCAGAAAAAGGAAACAAGTGGTAGTAAGTTTCAGCCGACCAATGAGGCCCACACGGCCAGCAGTGATCAGCAAATCAAAGGTAGCACACGG